ATTATGTAAAATTAATGTTTTGAATAGTGATTTTTTAAAAAATGTGTTGTTAAAAAGGTGAAAAAAAAATTGATCTTACATGTAAAATATTTTTATTGTGTTAACGTATAATTAAAAATGAGTATGAGAAATAAATTATTTTGTTTTAAAGGGAGTCAAACAAACCCTAACAAAGAAATCCTTCTATATGAGAATCCATCATCAAAGTATTTTAACGTACTTCTTGCACCATTATGTAAAATGAACAATAAATAAAGAGTAATATTATTTAACATTGCTTGTGTTTAACATCAGTTTAAGTGATTGCACTAATAACATTAAATTACTGATTCAATTAGATATAAAAAAAATTTGACCATGTAATATGACTTATGATATATTAACACTTAAATTGGTATTCGATACACTGATGCTAGATAATATTATTCAAAAATAAATACAAGACGAGGATTCTTTTATGCATGACACGTGGATGAAAATTCAGTAAGTTTCAAGAAATGGGTTTGTAAGTGGAATTTTCTGTGAAACATCTACGTCTCACAATTATTATTTGGGTTTAATGATTGTTTCGAAAACTAAAAACTTTGATGAAAACTTTATTCCTCACATGCTATTATATTAAGCAATGATGGAATTTTCAAAGGGCGGAAAGAAAAAGAAACATTTGAATGATTGTAATAAGTTAATACGACACATATATAAGATTCTGTTTGGGAATGATTTTGAGAATTGATTTTTTAATCGTTAGGAGAAAAGTAGGGTCTACCTGTGAGAGAAGAAGTCAAATATAACGACTGAAATAGTGAAATAACGATAAAAAAATCAATTTTTTCGGTAAAAAAATCGCTCCCAAACAGGCCCTGAACGTTTCAAAGTTTTCAAGAAGCCAATGAGCAAGTGCGGTTTTGTCTTTCCATCAATTTTGTTCTCCAAAATAGCAAAAATAACTTGATAAGAAAATTGTAAAAAAAAAAAAAAAAAAAAAAAAAAAAAAAAATTGAGAAATTGTGGGTTTGGGATGGGATGATACGTTCCTAGTGATATGTCTTTATCTGTACAATCATAATTGATGTACATCATGTGTACACTTTGCGATAAGACATTATTTAATCGGACAATTTAAAAAAAAAATTATTTTTTCATCCAATTATTTGTTGACAACAATGTAAAAGTCAACAAGGGTGTAAAATACATGAGTGTACAAATGACATAATCCTTTTTTTAATTAGGGTAGTTTCTTCTTCTTCGTTTTAGAAATTAGATAAATCTCCCCCAATTTCTGATAATTTCAAAAACGTTCCTTACTTTTGAAATACTACATAAACATTCATTATTCAACTTTTGAATATCGCATGCTTTCCTTATTTCAAATTTTGAATAATGCATAACTCCTATGAAGTTTACGATACTTTTACAGTTACCCCTTCGTTTTAAAAAAATTACATGAACTTCAGTTATTTTAAATTTTTGAATAATGCATATATATCCATTAACCACTTTTTCCACATGTTGACATAAATAATAGTGAAAATGTTGAAAATATCCTTATGAATTTCATTCCGTTTTGTAACTCCTTTAATAATTGTATAAACCTAAAATACTCTTAACATTTGTAACTAAATCAATAACAAAGTATTGCTTTCAACAACAATACTGATTATTGTTAAAGTAGTTACAGGATGAAGAAAAGTTCGTAGAAGCTTGCTATAGAAACAGGGCCTATTGACAGGCCTTGTTGACAAGGGGCCCTTGATCTGAATCTCGAATATTACTACTACTATTTATGCGAAATGTAAGAGAAAAGTTAAGTGAGGTACGTGTTATTCAAAAATTTGAAATAACAAAGGTTATGTAATTTTTAATTTTCTAAAAATCAAACCAATGGGTATAAAGAAAATTTTTTAGAACCCATCGAAATTCGGTTAGGTCATAGGTTAATAATCGAATGAATAGAAATCAGGGCAAAATTCGAATAGTTGTCCGATTCAATTGGGAATTGGTTAATCAGTCATGGTTTTTGTAGGTTTCACATTTGATATTTCTTTAAAAAATATATATTGTTGATGTTTAAAAATGTAATGCGATTGTTTTTTATCAACTTAAAGAGAAAAATGAATGTTTATTGCCAATTAACTTGGAACAAAGTATATCATTTGCATAAGAAGGGAAGTGGTATATAGAAATGAAGTATCGCTTTCAATGGAGTATGAGCTCTACTTGGTGAGGAAATCGTTGCTTCCTATTTATAGTCATTTCAGCTAGTGTCGTCCTTTAAGTGCGTGCCACTTATCCAAGTTTTTGTTACTTTGATTGGTTGTTGAGGTCGACTTCTTCAAATCATCATTACGTCTAGCTTCGACTATACCATCAGATAATGATGGGCCTATCATCAAGCGATCAATGCTTGGACATATAATATGTTGGGAAACTTTCATATTTAAGGTATATTCTTTACACCATTTCAAAAGTGAGGTAAAAAGTTCGAAAATTCAAAATTCAGGTTTGTATTTAATTAATTAAAATTATTTATTAAATAAATATATTAAAGTCACAGTTAAACAATTAATGGTCACAGATTTCACAGATTTATTTACCAGTCACATATCATCAAATTAATTAGTCACGGATTATTTCGAGGTCACAAATCGAAAATTTTATAGGTCACAGATTATTGTTTGTCACAGATCATCAAACTTTAAGGTCACGGACCAAATCATTGAGGTCACAGATTATTATTTTAGTCACAAATCATCAAATTTTAAGGTCACGGACCAAATCGTTGAGGTCACAGATTATTGTTTGTCATAGATGTCAAATTTTAAAGTCACGGACCAAATTTTAAGGTCACCCCCACCACTAGTCCCATCTAGCACCAATATTGATCACAAAACACCACCAAACAATCGTCGCTTGCATCACACCCAATCCCGATCCAATTTTCCACCGCAACACTTGGTCACAAATACTATCTATCACCGCCATGCAAACACGAACATTGTCTACTAAATTCCACCATTTCTTCCAGTTACCATCACTATGACTACCACACATATCACTGCTGCCACCCCCACAACTGCCTGTTCAAACGCCATCCACCACCTCCACCTGCAACTCTAATAACCATCACATCACCACAACCACTGCCTGCTAAAATCCACCATTTCTTCCAACGCTACAACACCCATAGAATCCATCCAACCATAATCAGAAAACCACAGCGTATAAAATCCTTAAAACCACCGCACCAACTGGAAAAACAAATGCAAAAAAGGAAGGGGGAAAGAGGGAGAGATGACTAGCTTCGTGATGGGCTACCCCCACACCAACTCTAATCAACCGTACGTTGCTGCTTACGATGGTAAGGTGCTGGGGCATCACCCATGGTGGTCGATTCTTCGCTTGTTGTCGACGCTAGTCACGACACTAGCATTTGCCCCAATCAGATTTAGCAGAGCCAATCTCGGTAGAGAGAAGGGGGATAGAGTAGAGAGAGAATGGAGTGAATTAGGGTTTGGAATTGAATTAATTGATTGATAAAATATCCAATTAATACCTGATTTTTGATTAAATAAACTTCACACCTGTATTTTAAATTTGAAACTTTAAATAAATGGTTTTATGTAATTTCCTCTAATATGTTTCCTTTTTCCTTATCCATTTATTTAAATGAATGGTTTTTCTCTCCTCATCAGTTTATTAAAACGAAATTCAAAAGTACACTCGATTTAAATGAATAATTAAACTTTCCATCTTCTAAGGATTTTGGAATAGATGAAGCCTTCTCTCTCCTTAGTTAGCTTTGACTCCTAATCTTGAGATCGTTGTTCTTAACCTCTGACTTGATTTTTTCTAGAAGTCTTTGCCTTTCCAATACTTTCAGCCCTCGCCTTTGTTGTGGTCTCCACTCCCTTGGCTAACTACTTTTAATCTGGTAGGCTAGCTATTCACTCCTAAATCTTGGACGTTTAGGCGCAGTTTGACATCCCTTCACGAGGTATTTTTTTTTTATCTACATTCGAGATATTGCCGTACCTATTCCTACACATACGTTCGTGCATAGAACAATCCTCCTTTTATTTGAAGGTATGTAGGACTCAGTTATATCCAATACTTCCGATCCATAAGGTATTTATCTAGCTAATGAGTTTTGAGTTCTCTTCCTTGAATTGGTAGACCTACCTTATACTAGTGTCGAGCCTACAAGACTAATGAACTCGTATTTCATGATAAATTTTTCGAAAAAGCCATATGTAAAGGATTTTTATAGGTATTTTTGTGACAGCAGCAGATTCAAACTGATTTTTTATCCCCCCAACTGTCAATGAATTTTCACGAAGTGTTATATGTGAATAATTCTTTAAGTGTGAGATTGACCTAATTTTTTTATTTATTTTTCTTCCTTTTTTTGTGGCCCTTTAAAAAATTAAGACACCTGAATCAAATATTATTCTAGAAAAATAATAAAAAAATGTTTGCTTTCTGTGTAATTTCACCTGTACCAAAAATGGCAAAACTGCTGCATGGTGCACGCGCACATGTACAGTGTCGAATTAAAACTTGAAAGTTAGTAGACTCGCTGTACAGTGTAGACAGTGTCTGTGGCAATCAACGTGCTGGTAGGCCAGGTTAAATTCATTTTTACTGTTACTCAGGTACTTGCTGTCTTGTAAATTTTTAAATTATGTCTCTTAGCAAATTTGGTTAAAAGTAATACACCAAATTTGGTAGGCATTCTTCTGCTACTTTCATCCACATTTACTTCCTAGATGACACTACAAATTTCATTGGTTTGGTCACGTATTCACATGTTGAGATTACGGAGTTTTAGACTTTGAATCATTCAAGTCACGGTAGATACCTCGAACATGTCTGATAGATAAGAGAGAATAATATACTGTATGAATAGACTCACTTGAATGTTGTAACTTGAATGATTTAACCGACGGAACTAGTGGGGTTCGAATAAATAATCTTTCTCACTGCCTCTCTTTCTCTCTCTCACACACACGAACGAGTGGGCATCTGTTCTTCACTTAAAATTCTCCTTCTCTCTCACACATACACATTCTTGTGTGTGAAAGAGAAGCAGGAGTCAATCAAGTACCCCACAAAATTCAGAAACTCTAGTTTGAATTAGGTCCAGTTTCTGCTAGATTTTGAAGCTCTCTCTCTCGTCTCTCTCTTTATTTATCCGTGTGTATTGTGTATAAAGAAGATGAGGAAAGAGAGGGAGATGGGGTTAATTAATCATAAAGAAACATCAAGAATTCAAGATTGATCAAAAGAATTCTTGGATTACCCCACACAGACACACATGGAACTCACGGATTCAAGAAACAATAAACAAATCAACACCAGCACCTCTTGCGCCTCCACCTCCGTTACTAGTGGCGCCACCACTTCGGCCACCTACTTTCTCACTCCATCTCATCATCTCCTCCAGCGCCTCCACCCCAACGCCCACCATCAACAGTACGAACATGGCCAATCATCACAGTTCATTACTAATTCGTCTGTTGGTGGAGTTACGGGTGGCGCGTCGTCATCGGCATCATCCACTACCAGTGCTTCCACCTACTCCACCAGTCAGACGCCGCAGCCGCCGGAGGTCGTGGACGCCTCTTTAGCAATCGCTACCGGATCAGAAACCCTTGTTGACTCCTCGAAGAAATCCCATAACCAGCTGCAAATTGCTCTACAACCACAAGAACAGCAAGTACAAACCCAACCACCACCAAAAAAGGTTACCAAGGATCGCCATACGAAGGTCGACGGCCGGGGCCGGCGCATAAGAATGCCTGCCATCTGCGCCGCTAGGGTTTTTCAGCTTACCAAAGAACTAGGCCACAAGTCCGACGGTGAAACAGTTGAGTGGCTCTTACACCAAGCCGAGCCAGCCATCATAGCGGCCACAGGTACCGGCACAATTCCAGCTAATATTTCGACCCTCAACATCTCTCTTCGAAGCAGCGGCTCCACTCTGTCGGCTCCATCTTCAAAATCAGCTCCACATTCTTTTCATGGCGCACTAGGGCTAACACAACAACCTTACGAAGAGAATTTTTCACAAATGTTAGGGTTTCGCCATCATCAGCAGCAGCAGCACCCTCATCTTTTACAAGCAACTCAAATTGCAGAATCCTTAGCGAGCGGAAGCGGCGGCGGAGGTGGAGATGGTAGCGACGGCGGAGGACAAGAACCCAACGAGAATTACTTGCACAAGAGATACAGAGAAGATTTATTCAAAGAAGAAGGGACTAATAATTCTCAAGGAGAAGGCTCCGATTCACCTTCACACAAGCAATTCAAGGGGAACAATCTGCAAATTTTACAAAAATCGCATGAATCACCGGCCAACGGACAATCTTCTCCGAGTCTAATCCGACATACCAACATGATGCCCGCCACTGCCATGTGGGCTGTGGCACCAGCACCGAGCAGCGGAACCACCGCCGGCGGTGGCGCGTTCTGGATGCTCCCATTCACCTCCGGTAACAACGGCCAGGCGTTGACTGCAGCGGCCACACCCGTGACAAGCCCCCAAATGTGGCAATTTCCGGGTGGGAACAGTCTCCAAACGCCATTACATTTCATGCCGAGGTTCAATTATTCTGGGAATCCTGATTTTCAAGGAGGAAGATCGAGTCCGTTGCAATTGGGATCAATGCTAATGCAGCAACAGCAAACGGCGTCTCAATATCTTGGATTAAATGTGTCGGGGGAGACGAATTTGGGGATGTTAGCGGCGCTTAATGCTTACTCCAGAGGGGGTTTGAATATGAGTTCAGATCAATTTGAACATCATCAACAGCAGCAGCAGCAGCCTCAAGACTCTAAAAGTGGTGAAGATGGACAAAATGCTTCTCAGTAATGGTATATAATTTACCCACAATTAATCGTTAATTAATTATCTCATCGCTTCTTTGATACGCAGTATTGAACACTACTATCAACTGATATCAAATCGAACTTAGATTGGACTCATTAGGATTAGACAATACATACATTTTCTTTCCTAACACAGTATAAGTGCTAATTATGTTTGATACGTAGAACTGGACATTAGTTGATATATTAAATTAATATATATATTTATTTATTTTTGGTTCTGATTGAAGAATTGTTGTTTTTGCAGCTTGAAATTGGGAAACTAATTCAAGGAAGGTATGTAGGTAACTAGTTCTTATTCTAAGTTAATCAGTGTTTATGATTAATTTTTGTTTGTGTGTTTGGAGTGATTGTTATGAATTCGGAATTTGAAGTGTAATTTGTTAGTTTGGTCCAAAGGGACAATACTAGGAATTAATTAAGAGAGAGAGAGAGAGAGACTAATAGTGAATGTGTATAGGAGGAACTTGATTACAATTTGGAAACTGAAAATGAATATTGAGTTTAATTAGAAAGAAAAGAAATTTGGAGAGAAAAACATTAACGTTTATCCATTTATACGTAAACGATCTCACTCTCGCCCTCACCCTCGTTGGTGACCGCGTACTAACATTTTCGGTGTGGGTTCCTCATGAATAAAATAATCCCCAACTCCTTATGTGTATGTGGTGTGTCAACCTCGCGATCATTCACGTGAGTATTGTAGCACAACAATATGTACAATGATGGTAAAATGGTACATTCTTCAAAAAGCTTTGTACGTACTTTTCGTATTCTACCGGGATGGATTCAAAGTGGTTTGAACTTTTATTTGACTTTTTTCATTTTCAAACAACTTTTGTTCTGAAAAAGTTGAAATTCCCACCATTTTTTCTTGGCGAGGTAGATAGAATTTTTTTTATTTTTTTAAAACTTTTTTTAGTTTAGTTTGATCTCGTCAATACCTAGAAATTGAAATATGGCTTCAAAGAGGGGGGAGTTTCAACACTCTCCAAAGAATTATGGTATAGTGACATAATGTCACATGGCACTATATCATTAGACTGTTTTAAAGCTTTTTTATTCAATCACATTTTGTCAAATCACATGATGTTACTTCATTTGTTATGTTAAAGTGGCATAATCCTTCTCAAAATAATTTAAATCAAACAAATCACTCAAGTCGAATTACATATATATATTACCTTTGTCACCGGCTAGTAAGATTGATAAGAATTGTCCAACTCTTCGAGATTATCTTTTATTTTTGGACGATGAACAAAACTTTGATAATTTGTGAAACTTTTGGGATGTTTTTTTATTACTAGGCAGTTCCAGCCAGCAAATAGAATTTTGACAACAGAATTTGATTACCATTTTGGAAGGAAGGTAGTACCTAATAATTATGTGCACGTGTTTGTTAATTGAATCACTTTTCTTTCTTCCTTTCTTTCTTTTTTAAGGAATTTATTTAACATTTTCATAGTTATTTTTTTGTCTTTCGATTTTTCACCACATTAATTACAATTTCATATTTTGTCCCTTCTTTTATTTTCTTGATTGTCGCAGCTGACACATTAAAATATTTTACATTACAAAATCCATTGCTCTCATTTCTCATTGAAGCATCTCCAATCGTATTGTAAAACTGGATATAAATTGGTATACATAAAATCACTTTTTCATCTGTATTTACATCTCGTTGAACTTAAATTTAAATTTTGGTTCAATAAAAAGAGATGAATTCACTTTTTATTTCTTGTGAATGTGTGTGTGTGTGTCTATATATATATATATATATATATATATATATATATATATATATGATTATAATTCATGATTAACATCACTTTTAATTGAATTAAAAATAATCAAAAGTATCATATCCAAAATCTTGTTGTGGGCCATACCCAGTCTCGAAATTTCCTCGAAAGAGACGTTTTGTTTGCTCGTATTTGTCGTATACATTTGAAAAAAATCATACAAAAAGACCAATAAACTACAAATTTTATTTGTATAAAATATTTTGTATCGAAAAATACGTGATATGGTTTTAAAATTAATTATTTATATAAAAAATTAATTTATATTCCTTGATTGCTTTAATGTAAGTTTAAGAGCAATGAAATGAATATATTATTTATTTATTAAAGCAATTGGAATTTTACAAAAGTACATTTTCTTTTTGATGAATTCAATGTTTCCCGTTTGAAAATTTCATTGGATACCACTCATCCGTGATTTTCGCAGTAACATGCTCAACCTTTTGTTCTTCAATTTATTGCAAATTCGGGATTAAGAACTTTTTCGATTATGTTGAATTTAGGATTTGTCATGTGTCGACTTCCGTCTCTTACATTACATGGATCGAGCCACGTGGCACTTGCATTCTTGTAAACTTGTCATCCTAAGTGTTGCCTCTCAAACTCAAATCTTTTCACGACTTGAGTAGGAACTTTTTGGCCAAAAGGCGTTAAATTTTTTATAATTTTGTGTTCAACTTGTCATATATATATCGACGTGTTCGTGTGAGGCAGGCTTATGGTCTATGGGTCTAAACGTGTCACGTCTAGTAACATATATAAATAATATAATTTAATCCAAACCAAAAGACCTCCCAAATTGTAGGAAAATGCTCCTTATCCCGGGTTTAGAGATAGGGGTCGAGATGGCGTGACCTCAGCCCCTGATTTGAAATCGCAGGCCCCATGTGCTGCAAGATCAAGGGCTGCGGTGGCGTGGATCTGAACTCGAGATTAAATCTCGGGTTCTGCAGCACTTTTGCAAATTGTAACACCAAAACCGAATGTCCTCATCACGTGTTGCACATGCACCTCTAAATAAGCACATATCAATTTTTAGTTTATTTTTGCCTATAATAAAGAAGAATGATATCTAATGCAATACCCCCTAAAAAAATTAAAAAATTAAAATTAAATTTCTTTTTTTTTTTTTTTAAAGAAAAAGAACAGTCTACATGAAAAGGAGTAAATAATTTATGCATTTGTAAAAAAATCAATAAAAACACAAAACCTTGTAATTTGGTAATTAAATCAAGGTATCTCAGAAATATCTTAATCAAATGACCCATAAACATATGACAAGTGAGAACCCACATAAAGTGAAGGTATCCATTTAAAAGTCAGATGAAATACAGTGTTGAAAATAACGTTGCAACTTGCTGATATTTAGCAGAGAAATTTGACAAATGAGGCTTCATTACATTACATTCATAATCATTGAGTTCTTAAGAAATAGAGAGGCAATCTCTTTTTCTTTAAATAATAATTAAAAAAAGTCAACCTCGTGTAAGGACATGGGTCGTTTCGGTGAAATGACTCGGACGGGTGTTAGTCTGGATACGACAAAATCATTCTAGTAAATTAGACAAATATTTTGTGACAAAATTGAAAAATTTACATGGCTCGAAGTTTAAGGTATTTCTTAACTAAAACAAACGCGAATGGGAAATCATTCAGAACTTCCACCATGAAAAAAATTTGAACGAGTCATTTTGCAGTACCAACAAATCCAGAATCAAATGGCAACTAACTATATATTATAAAGACATTAGAAATTTTTTTAAAAAAAAATAAAATAAGAATCATTCTTTCCATCCTTCCATTGTGGATTTAACAGACGTTAACAATATTAAGAAGATAAAAAGAAATTAAAATTTTCTTTGTTTTATAGTCCAATAATGTCCACAAGGGTCTTGAGCTTCTTTTTCACCAGAAGAAGAAAAGACGGTATTTGAAGAATAAGTTTTGGCTAACTCTATGCCGGCCGTCGCGATGAGACAGACAATGTCTAGACAGTGCAAAGTCGACTAATTGTAAGAGGAACCAAAAAATTGCTCGTAAACTCCTATAATAGAGCCCACATGAGAGAGAATAGCCATGTCTGTTGTTTTGTGAAGAAGAAAGGTTCCAGAAAGATACATGCATTCTACATCACCATCAGAGAAGTTGAACAATAGCTATCCAACGGCCCAAATCAATTTTAAAAAATCTATTTACTTCAGGGGCAGAGAAAAAAAAAAAAAAAAAAAAAAAAATGGTGATCCCAACCAAACCACCCCTACCACCCACCTACAATCGTCGTCAAACCCACACCATTTGCAACAAAAAAATTCCACTCACCATCCCGAATGCCGGCCCCTATCGCCACCCCCTCGAACTCATTCCATTTGTAACGAAAAATTCGTTCCCATCACAATCCAACTATTTGGCAAAGATGATGGACAAGGTCTCGGATCTACAATCCACGACGTGATCGACACCATCGTGTCTCTCTTCTGCTCATAGGTCTGCATTAGTATGATGAATAATATCATTTGTTTGGAGTTTTGACAAAATCATCGATTTATGTAGCAATCTAAACTTTAAATAAATAATATTATTTATCTAGAATTAATAGTTAATTATAATTTTAACTAATTTTTTAAAGTTGAACTACTACCAAAGAACACTCCTAGATAGCATTGATTATTTATAAAGGAAAAATGGTAAAAATATGAAATTTCGATAATAATTGAAGATTTTACTTTCAAAAAAAGGGATTATTGCAGCAAAAGTCTCAAACCTTTGAAGTACTAGCAGACTTTCTTCAAACCTTTCAATCATTGTAGTCGTCACCCCTAACCTTTTCAACCATTGCATGTGAGGCGCTTTTTTACTGTTTCCATCCAAAATGTAGTTATTTGACCACCAAAATAAATTTTGACCATTTTATAACAAAATAAGACTGTAAACATTCTTTAAAAAAAAAAAAAAAAAAAAAAAAAAAAAAAAAAAAAAAAAAAAAGAAAAATTTCTTCTTTATCCAATTAACATGCACGACACTATATTTGTGTATTTATACATGCAAATTGAACAACCTCAAACTTCAAACTAAGTTAGCTCCACTGTAATTACTTAAAAAAATCCTGCATATATTTCTGATCATTTTTAGCTTTTTTCTTAGGGTTTTTTGCTTATTTTTTGTTGCAATTAATTAGATGGAGCTTGAACTAGGTCTTGCATTTCCAAACCAGACTCCCATGAAAGCAGTTTCCAACCTAAAACAGAAGTGAAAATTTGCAGAAGCTTTTGAGATATGAAAAACACTTCCAAAATAGTTGTGGGTGCAACAATTATAATGGTGGTTAGCGTTGTGTGTGTTAGATTGTTGGCCCAAAAACAAATTAAATAAAAAGGCAAGAATAAAGATTTATCTGCAAATCTGGGCAAGAAACATTGTGACCTATTTTCTTTTGTATAAATATGTAACTGTTGAATAAGCTTGAAAACTGGGATGAATATATGATGGGCGTGAAGAGCAAAGCTTGACAAAATGCGTGGGTTTAGATTAGAATGTTTTGGTTTTTGCCATTCATTAATTGAAGGGAGTAAGAAAAAATAGGGATTGAAGTTTGTGATTGACACCAAATTTGGACAATGTCGGCGCTTTGCAGTGGTGTCACAATCCCAATTTAGTCATTTAACTCTATATACAAAGATTTCAAAATTTTGTATACTTTGTGAAGAG